AAAAATTCATTATGATTAATCTTTTTGTTCCCATCCAAATCAGCAGCTTGAAATGCATGTATCACAAATAACTTTGTTCTATGTGTAACATTTCTATATTTATCAATTACTTTAGACATAAATAAATCTAGATCAACTACACCTGATTTATTTTTTGAATCACTTTCCTTTAGATTATCTAAATCACCTCTTAGCTCTTTAATTTCATCTTCAGTTAATTTATTCTCTAAATGCATTTTTATGTAACTATATATATATATTATATCTTTACTCTAAAGCTCTCAAATATGGAACATAAAATTTGGCTTCACTATCTCCTTGTACAATATTAACACCTAAACTTGTTTGACTATGTATATATTCTAATCCTGATATTAGAAAAGCTGATTCTTCTTAAGTGAAATTCAGATGTTCATCATGTAAAAGACATAATAATCTGGCAAATAAATTCACTCGAAATATTTGACTAAAATGAATTACAGATAATAAAAATTATAAGTATTTCTTTTCAGCTACATGTTTAAATCCATATTTATTAAGGAAGAAATTAAAAACAAAAATCTACATATCAGCTTCACCTCCAAAAGATGTTTTCTCTAAATATATTTGGCTAATAGTTCTTAACACATTCTTAACTGGCCAATAAGCAACAACCTTCTTAAATAAATGAGATTATTCTCTAGCTTTTATTGCTAATAAGACACCTGGATGTGTTAATCTATCTATAGTTGGTATTTATTTCATTTATCTAGTAGCAAAATTCATTCTTAATGCTCTTTATATTTTTCCTTTTCTTCTTTTTAGTGCCTCTTATTTTTTCTCTTCCTTTTCTTTTTCTTCATCCAAAACATATTCTTCTTCTAAAATCTCCTTATCATTCTAAATTTTCTTTCTTAATGATTCAAATTCAAATAAAAACTCTTCAGCAATTTAAGTATGTGTTTTAAATTAAGTTTTTAATATATGAAGAGTTAATTTTCTTGCAAATAGTAATACTTATGTTAATAATTCATTTGTTTCATTCATTCTAACTGTTGCATTTTAAGCTTTTTATTTTTGTATTTGATAAAGAAGCATTAACATAGTAGTTTATTATTTTGATAAATTAGGTTATTAAATAGTTTCATTTTTTTCATTAATATCAATTATATGTGTATTATTTTATGATTATTATGATTATTGTTATTATTATTATTATGATTATTATTATTATTATGATTATTATTATTATTATTATTATTATTATTATGATATACTCATTTTCTTTTTCTTTTATACATACTTTTCTTTTTCATTTATATTCTTCTTTTCTAAGTTATCATTAGATGGAAAATATCTTATTGAATTTATTGATCCTTATTATTGATTATTCTACTATAATTATTATGGAATCTATTGCTTTTAGTTTGATTTAGCTGTGTCAGTTTTACAAGTATTTGTTTAATTAAATTAAGAACTGGCTTAAGGTGATAATTTAATTGCTTTTTATGAAGATTATTATGAATTCTATTAAGTATTATTATTAGAACTTGCTCCTTATTATACTTATTTAATATTTAATAATCTATCTGAACCTGATTTATCTAATTCTCTAATCAACTTTTCTGATGTCTCAGATCTTTCAATTTAAAATCTTCTTTCTTATATATAATCTTATTTTCTTTTATTTAATACATCAGGTGATCCTTCATCATTTTCTGGTACTTCATATATTAAATCAATTTTAGTAATTCCTCTAGTTTCATAATCATGAATTGAGGGTTCATCTTGATGCATATTCATTTGATCACATAGACCATCTAACCAACTCTATTATTCTAATTGTTATTTTAGTTCAAATTCTCTTAATGTATTTTCTATTTCTTAAATTGATAAAAATTTATCATATTAAGGAGACATTAATTGTAAATCTGTTTAAGTTTCAAGAACACATAAACATTTTTAAAATGTTTAAATACCAACACTATGAGAGACAACAGGTAATACTTCAATCACATCTCTGACAATAACATCTTAATTTTATTCAAATTTAGTCTGTTGATTCATTTCCTTAAGTACTTAAGATAGTGATAAGTCTTATTCCTCCATAGCATCATCAGATTTGTTCATAGAAGAATATTTATTTTAATTCTTTTTGGATAATTAATGCTTCAATTAATCTATTTCCCTTTATAAATTGCCTATCATATTTGCTGCACTCTTTGATATGGTTTACTATAAGTTAATTTTATTCTATAATTTATTGATAGTCTATTAATAACTAATACGTTCTGAATTAATCACATTTTCTTTATATTTTAATTGATCTAATTCTTATGTTAATTTATTTATTTAGATTCTTGAACGATTTTCTATTTCCTCTTTTTCTTTAGCTTCATTAATATCTTTTTCAAATAATTAAAATTTTAATTTTCTTTTTTCTTATTCTTTTATCATGAAATGTTTATGAAACACTAAAATATATCCTTTTACTAATGTATGAAGGAGTTGACCTCTTTCAGCACATTGATAAGATACTTATCGAATAATCTCTAACAAACAAAGATGTAGGGCTTCAGATAAAGATATTAATTTATCTTTGAAATCCTTATTAGATTAATGGATAGTTTCCATGAAATTTATAAACCATTATTTAAGTATGATTGCATCTCTTCTACTAGTAGGTTACGCTGAAAAAAAACTACTTGATTATTATTAGAGTGAAACCAAAGAAGGAGCACAATTGATTGCTTTTTATAATGATTGTTTTAGAGAATTTAGTATATGACTACGATCCTTTTCTTAAGACAATCCTGCTGTGATTTGTTCGAAATTAAGTTCTGAGATTTTTTCTAATAAAGGTAGTATTTCATTTTAATTGTCTTACTCTGTAACTTATTCAAGCCTCTCTTCAGTTTTAACCCTCAATTGATTACCAAGATAAGCTTGATTTTGTTTTCTCATCCTCTATTACTATACATATTATTATAAATGAAGCTCTCCAAGTACCTACTTCTATTTAATTTGTTCTTAGAAACGATTACTGTAATGACTATCAGTCAGATGTGATATATCTCTTGTTCTTGTTCTCATTGATGTCATAGTTCTATTATTTAAAGATTTCAACGAAATTGTATGATCTTTCATAAAATAATTAAATATAAATGATAATATTTTAACATCAATTAATTATTTTAGATACTAATCAATTCTTACCATACTTATGATGGAGAAAATCTTATATCAATAAAATCATAATTGATTAAGGTGCCACTCTAGAAAAGTAAACAAATAATCCAACCCATAATCCAATCAACTTTTCTCTTTTTATACTTTTTATAAAACAATCTATCACTCCTTGATATGGCATTGAACCATCTGGTAATGATTTCATCTTCTAAAGTTTGGTCTTTACATTATCAAAAGGCAAAGAAATAATTGAGGATATTATTCCTGCACCACACGATGCCCTAAATGTTGAATCATTAAATTTACATAATCCTATCAAATGCAGTTTCATTTTTTGAATCTTTCAATTGCATACTCATTTATTTGAGTTAATCATATGTTGTTAATTACCCAATTGTGATTGCAACAGCTCTTGTAACTGTTGGCATAGATCCTTTCCAAAAAGCAAGAAGTCCTTCTTCTCTATAAATTCTTGTTAAGGCTTCAAAGGCATTTTTATAATTCCTTCTTTCCTCAATTGGCAATGATTAATCTGCTTAAAATCTAATTAAACACACATCTGTTGGATTCCCTACCAAAGCTCCAATAAATCCAGCAAATGAAGATGCTCCTACTTTTTCAAAAAAAGTCAAATCACCTTAGATATATATTGGAATTCAATACGTTATTATTATTTCTTAACCTTATCAGTGATTATCCTGAATATACCAAGACGAGTTGTTGTATATGTTAATTGTCTCAATAATGCCGAACCAAGGCTAAATTTAAAATTCTTCCTACCCTGAATAAAACCCTATTAACCCTTCTTTTTGGAGCATCTCTCTACTTATTTAAAAAAAATTCTTCTTATGACTGACCACTCCAAGACCCAAGTTTTCACTCTAGATTTAAATTCTCACTTTGAGAGTATCAATAGGCATTATAATAGCAGCAGCCGAGCATCCAGAAATTGCTCCAAATAGAAAAGGCTTAAAATAAGAGGAGTTTTTGGATTCAGCCATAAGGGAATGTTTATTTTTATTTCTTTAATTATAACTAAAATTTTATTATATAATCATTCTCTCTTTCACTATTTTAGTCCCTTTGGTTATTCTAAGAAATAATAACTAGTATAATAATTATAAAAATAACCCCTAAGTCTTAGATTTTTAGAATTATAAAAAAATAAAAAAAGATCTTCTCTTTGATATCTCATCTAATTAAAACTTACTAGACAAAAATTAAAAGTATAAAGAAATAAGTTCCTTCTTATGTATTAATCTCTGATATCATTAACTATATCTTATATAAATAATTTATCTACTAAATGGACGAGATAGTTAAAGAATAAAAGAATATAATTAAAAATTTTTAATTACTGCTCCGATCTTCTCTCAGTAAAGATTGTTCCTATTCCAAATATATCATATTTTATTAATAAATTAAGATCTTACCCCATTATATATAAATAAATTTGAATGTTCATAATCCCATTAAAAGATATATCACTACATCCCTTAACTCATAATTAAAATCATTTCTCAATTATAAAAATCTTCTAAAATGATATTGGATTATTTATTTTATTTTGTATATTTAGTTGTCGAAGTAAGAAAAGCATAGTAGGCAGAGCAAATAAATCTTATCAACAATTAGTATTTTCTTTGTTTTAATATTTAAGTGATTTCAATTACATTAAACTTAGCATTCGATAGATATTTCAAAAAATGTAAAATTACTTATTAAAACTTATGATTTAATTATTAAATGAATAATATCAATAACAAGTGAGACCTAATTAATCTTTTATATAAGTGATTAAATTTTTTTCTAAATGAATAATATTTTAATATATGAGTTTTAATAACGTAAATCAGATAGACCAAGAGATTCCTAGATAAAAGAGAACTTAAGTTTCTAATTTGCAAAATACTTAGACAGAAAATTAAAAAATTATCAAATTATAGACTTATGCAGATGTAAATCAAGAAATATAACCGTTTTATAATCCGCAAATTATATAAGTTCAACCCTTAGAATCCTATGAACTATCAGAAACAGACAATAATAAATATTTTCAAAACTTTCTCGGATAGCATAATTCAAAAATATCTAAATTGTTTTTTTTCGAATACACAATCTATGCTCTGCAATTAAAAAATTAAGTTTTAGACAAAAACCTGAAAATTACAGATAAGTATCTACCTGCTTTATCACCAGATGATGATTTAAATGAATTAGTATTTAAATCTGAGAATCGAATTTTTGAAGGACAAAATATGACATAAAAAACATTAATAAAGTTAATATTTTTAGGTGAATTGAAATGGATAACAGGAAAATGTATTATGTCTTATGTTATAGAATCAATTTCAAAAAATGGAATTTCTTTTATTTTGAGTTTTGTTATAATTAGTGTATCTCAACATGATTATGATAATGCTCATTATTATGGAATAATATTAGTAATATTAAATTTCATTAGTTTATTGAGTAGACATCATGCTGCTAATTATTCAATGATATTTTCTACTAAAGCACGTCTTTGTTTAATAAATTTAGTTTATATTAAATTGATTGGATTAAATTCTTATTCTTTCAAATAAGCTAATATAGGTAAAATATTAAATATAATATCTGGAGATATTAATACATTAGAATAAATGTTTAGCATGATATTTCCAAGTAGTGTAGTAATTATATCTATGTTTTTTGCTTTTTTTATTTTATGGAATAGATTTGATAGTATTATTGGTTTATTAGCAGTTTTATTATTATTTCTTGCTTATCCTATTTAAATGATAATATAATCATTCAATTAGCAAACATTAAAATAAGCTAAACTTAATTAAGATTAAAGATTAAGAATAACTAATCAATTTATTGAAGGAATTAGATTAATTAAAATGTAAGCATGGGAAAATGCCTTTTAAAAAATGATATTGACAATAAGACAAATTGAATTTCTAAATATTTTTAAAATTCTTCTAAGAACTTCAGTTGATAGATTATTTACATAAACTTCACATATATGGGCAAGTTTTTTGTATTTTATTACCATATATTATGGCGAATAAAGAAATGAAATGAAAATTGACTAAATGATTTTAACAATATAATTGTTAAATTCTCTGAGAATATCTTGTGTTTATATGGTTTCCAATGGAATATAAGCTTTTATTTAAATTAAAGTTACTTTTGAAAGAATTGCAAATGTGTTAAATCTATAAAATTTTGTTATGCTTAAAGTTGATGATTATTTGTAAAAAGAAAATAATATAATTGAAAAAGAACAAAGTAGAATTGAATTAATAAATTTTAGTGCATATTGGACACATACAGTATCTGATAATGATAAAGCAATCTTAAAAAAATTGAATATAAATTTTAAATAAGGAGAATTATGGGCAATTATTGGAAGAGTTGGATGTGGAAAATCAACACTTTTACATTCATTACTATGTGAAATTCCAGCTTATAAAGGACTCATATTAATTGATGGATAAAACCCATAATAAAGTAAATTAACAATTAGTTATGTTGAATAAGAACCATTTTTATTTCCTGATAATATTAGAAATAATATTCTATTTGGAAAAGCATATAATAAATCCCTATATTTAAAAGTTATTTAAGTAGCATAATTAGAATCTGATTTTGATTTGATGAAATTTAGAGATTAGACTGAAATTGGAGAAAGAGGTATTACACTTTCAGGTGGATAAAAAGCAAGAATCTCCTTAGCAAGAGCATTATATTAAACACCTGATGTATATTTATTTGATGATCCTTTATCTGCTGTTGATGCAAGTGTTGCTTAAAATATATTTACAATTGCTATTAAATAATTCATTTTTGAATATCAAATAACAATTAACCCAGACAAACAAAAACCAATTGTAATTTTAGCAACTCATTAAATATAATATGCTATCAAATGTGATAACATTGCTATATTAAGTCATGGTGAATTAATTGCTAAAGGCCCATATGAACAAATTAAATTACATTTAGAAATGATTAATAATGATTTAGCTTAATAATTAGATAAAACTTAAAATGAAACTAATAATTAAGATATCTTAGAATAATAACTTATCACTACAATCTCAAAAAAAGTAAAATCATCAGAAAATAGAACTCTAATAGTCTCAGAATCAGATAATTAATAAGTCATTAATTTTTCTGTTTATTTGAGATATTTCAAAAATTGGAATTGTTTATCTTTTTTTTTAGTGATAGCCTTTGAGGTTGGTTAAGAAATTTTAACTATGCTCTACTAAAGATTTATATCATTATTTGAATAATATTAAGAGAATGGTTAGACTGATTCTACTTATATCATATTATCTTGTATAGTAATTGGATTAATGATTTGTTGTTTAATTAAGTATATTCTTAGTTTAATATAAGTATAGAAAACAACTTAAAACATTCATAAAAAGATGCTTAATTCTATTTCATAAGCCCCAATATCATATTTTGATGTAAATCCATCAGGAAGAATTATAAATAGATTTTCAAACGACTTATCTTTGTGTGACAATTCAACAAACTAAGTTTTTTTGGATATTTTAGAAAAGATGGGCAATTTTTTGATTTCCTTAATAACCCTTGCAATTTTATAACCTTTCTTTATTATTATGATATTCTTTATCTTAATTGTAAATCTTTATCAATATAATTTTTACAATAAAATTATCAGCTAATTGAAAGAGATTGAATTAATTTAAAGAAGTCCATTATTTGATTTTATAAAAAATACATTAGGAGGATCTATCCAAATTAAAATTAATAAATAATAAAAACTATTTAAAAAAAAGTTTATAGATATATCAAATAAATGTAATTTGAATTCATTAACTTATTTTTATTCAACAAGATCATTTTGTTTTAATATTGATTTTATTGCATTTATTGCTTCAACTGCTGGTTTATTTATTTTCCTTAATCTTAATTAAAATGATGTTGCAATATTNCATTATATTAAACACCTGATGTATATTTATTTGATGATCCTTTATCTGCTGTTGATGCAAGTGTTGCTTAAAATATATTTACAATTGCTATTAAATAATTCATTTTTGAATATCAAATAACAATTAACCCAGACAAACAAAAACCAATTGTAATTTTAGCAACTCATTAAATATAATATGCTATCAAATGTGATAACATTGCTATATTAAGTCATGGTGAATTAATTGCTAAAGGCCCATATGAACAAATTAAATTACATTTAGAAATGATTAATAATGATTTAGCTTAATAATTAGATAAAACTTAAAATGAAACTAATAATTAAGATATCTTAGAATAATAACTTATCACTACAATCTCAAAAAAAGTAAAATCATCAGAAAATAGAACTCTAATAGTCTCAGAATCAGATAATTAATAAGTCATTAATTTTTCTGTTTATTTGAGATATTTCAAAAATTGGAATTGTTTATCTTTTTTTTTAGTGATAGCCTTTGAGGTTGGTTAAGAAATTTTAACTATGCTCTACTAAAGATTTATATCATTATTTGAATAATATTAAGAGAATGGTTAGACTGATTCTACTTATATCATATTATCTTGTATAGTAATTGGATTAATGATTTGTTGTTTAATTAAGTATATTCTTAGTTTAATATAAGTATAGAAAACAACTTAAAACATTCATAAAAAGATGCTTAATTCTATTTCATAAGCCCCAATATCATATTTTGATGTAAATCCATCAGGAAGAATTATAAATAGATTTTCAAACGACTTATCTTTGTGTGACAATTCAACAAACTAAGTTTTTTTGGATATTTTAGAAAAGATGGGCAATTTTTTGATTTCCTTAATAACCCTTGCAATTTTATAACCTTTCTTTATTATTATGATATTCTTTATCTTAATTGTAAATCTTTATCAATATAATTTTTACAATAAAATTATCAGCTAATTGAAAGAGATTGAATTAATTTAAAGAAGTCCATTATTTGATTTTATAAAAAATACATTAGGAGGATCTATCCAAATTAAAATTAATAAATAATAAAAACTATTTAAAAAAAAGTTTATAGATATATCAAATAAATGTAATTTGAATTCATTAACTTATTTTTATTCAACAAGATCATTTTGTTTTAATATTGATTTTATTGCATTTATTGCTTCAACTGCTGGTTTATTTATTTTCCTTAATCTTAATTAAAATGATGTTGCAATATTTTCTTAAGGATTATTATTATTAACTATATACAACGAAGGATTATCATATGGATTAAAATAATTGATATTTTTTGCAACTTAAATGAGTTCATATAATAGAATGTTCTAGATAATAGATATTGAATAAGAAGCACTATAAGTAAAAGATATAGATTCAAAATTATAAAGTTTTCCAGAATCAGGTAATATTAAATTTGATAATGTTTATATGAGATATAGATGTGATTCAGATTTAGTTTTAAAAGGATTAACATTTGAAATTAAAAGTGGATAAAAAATAGGTTGTGTTGGTAGAACAGGAGCTGGAAAATCTTCAATTTTATAAACAATTTTTAGAATAAGTGAAATTGAAGAATATGAAGGATCTAAAATAGAAATTAGTGGAATTAATATTAAATAATTAGGATTATAAAAATTAAGAAGTAGTATTGGTATTATTCCTTAATCTCCATTCTTATTTACTGGAAGTCTTAGATCAAATTTAGATCCATTTAATTAATATGATGATTAAGCTATTTGGTAAGCATTAAATATTGCTGGATTAAATGAATATATTAAATAATTTTCTAATGGTTTATAAACAGATATAAGTGATATTAATTCATTATTCTCTGTTGGATAAAAATAATTAATTTGTTTAGCTAGAACTCTATTAAATAAAAAGAAGATTATTGTTTTAGATGAAGCAACTGCTAATCTTGATATGAAAACAGATGATTTTATTTAAAATACCCTTAAATAATAACTTAAGGATTGTACACTTATTACTATTGCACATAGATTAAATACTATTGCTGATTATGATAAAGTTATGGTTATAGAAGATGGAAAAGTCATTGAATTTGATGAACCATTTAATCTATTAGCATAATCTATTAATTCAATAAATATTGATAAACAAACTTAGTTTTCTAAACTTGTTTAAAATACAGGACATTCTAATTCATAAGCTATTTTTGATATTGCCAAAAAAAAATAGATACAAATTTAGATATGATCTTGATTATTTAATATTTGAATATATTCTTTGTAAATCATTATAAATTAAATAATATAAAGGAATTGAAAACTTATTACATCTTTTATGATCTTCTAAACTTAGAATTCTTCAAACAAATCAGTAATTATTTCAAGAATTTTCCTTTTGTAAATATATTATATATTCAAATAAATCAAATATAAATATCATTCAATTTTTTATACCAAATTTAGCTTTGCATAATTTTAATTTTTCTTAATAGGACATATCTAAGTCAACTAATTTCTTATTTAAATCTTATATTTATTTAAGAGCAATCAAATTCTCCTTTGATTCTTCTTGCTAATATTCAAATTAAAATATTTTCTATCTTTTCTGGGTTGAATCTAACATATTTTTATTTTCTAATATTTAATTCATCTCTTAAATTTATAAAATCAACTACTTTTATTGTTAAATTAGTGAAATTTTTGTATCTTATAAATCTTATTTAAGATTTCTTAAAATAACTTTATTTTAATTTGAATCAATATTCTTATCATATGTGTTTTCACTTTTAACAAATAAAAGATATTTATTTTTTCCTTAATTTATATTTTAAGGGTCTTTAAATTATTGACACTTACAATTTTAATTTTACTTCACTAATTCATCAACTCCTCTTTTAATATCTTCTATATAATTGAACAAATTATTTAATAAAATTTAAGAAGCAATTTTCTCAGAGCAAGTTCTATCCGAAGATTATAAAGAATTTTTTTCATTACCTTCTTGTAAACTATCCAATAATTAGTGTTCCTCAATATTTTGGTTTTGAACTGGTTATTCTGTAGATTTACAATTCTTTAGCTTTTTTATTGTCCATAATATTTCTTCTATTGTTCTGAATATGTTAACACTGAGACTCATTTTGTATATTATATTTTAATTACACATCTTAATATAAAAATAGCATAATTCTATTACAATTTTTCTATTAAAATTGATTCAAGTTTTTTAATTATTAAATTTGTTTTGAATATATGTAGAAATAAAAGAATCAAACATAATGATTGAAATCATTATATTTTTAGTTCTTTCATCTTTAAGCTAAAACTAATATATATATAATATATCTTTTATCAATAGAAATTGATATATTTCATAAATATATTACACATAATAACTTCCTTTTAAGTATAGAGATTGAACTCAATCATTAAATGATTTTTTTGTTTTAGACCAAGATATAATTGTTTATAAATTAAAAATAAACTACTTCATTGTTAATAATTATTTTATATATAAAAAGTCTAATAATGCAGTAAAAATAATAGAAATTATAGCAATAGGAATAAAAAAAGTCTGAATTGTATATAGGAAAGTTTTTTTGTTAATTTTAATGTAATGGCAAAATGACCGGTAAAAATTAATTAAAAGTAAAACTTAAGATTTTTGACTAAAAAAAAACAATTAAGTAATTGAAAAAGAAGAAGTTATATGTTGTTAGTAATGATATTGATTAATATGAATATAACAGAATAGTTTGTAAGGTAAGAAAAGGGAAAGAAATTGTTAAGAAAATTTATAATAATCACGGAAAAATTTTGCATTTATATGATGAAATATGGTTTTTTTTATTGAATGCTGGATATGTTAAATTAAGAGTGAAAATAATAAAATTAAATGAATCAGATGTTGAAATTGCTGAAGTTTCTGTTTATTTAACTTAATAAGCCATAGATGATGATTATGAAATGAAGATCAATAGATATAACAAAAAGACAGAACAATTAAATAATGTAGAGGAAAATCAAATGGAATTGTTAAAATATGCAAGACTATCTTTATTATTAATGTTTGATTTTATGAATGTAACAGTTGAAGAAAATTGTTTAATTAAATAAAACAAATAATTTAAGATCTTCTTTGCATAATATTGTTAATTCTTTTAGAAATCTAAAATGAATTTTTAAGTCAAAAGTTTGCTTAAACCATATGCAAGACCTATTATAGAAAAGTAACAAGTATTTGAGAATTATCTAAATAGTAAAAGGTTTAATAATAATTTATTTGAAAAAAAGTTGATACAAGACTTAGTCGTATATTAAACAGGTCCTTCAACTTTTGTATCTCAATATAAGAAATTATATTCCCCAAAAATGGAAGAGATTTATCCAATTCACCATGATTTATTTTAAAAGATAGGCTTAGAATTTTTTTAATATGTTAAAGCTTTTATAAAGCGTTCAAAAAATTCAGTTGATAATCAGTATGCTGAGATTTATGATGATTATGTTTTAAGGACTGTATTTTTATGTACTTGTGAGATATCAGAAAAAATTTAGAAAGATTCTATTTATACAAATTAACATAAAAATTTAATAAAAGTTCGTAAATAAATTACAGAAGCTTTAAGTAGATCAAATAAGGACTAACTCAACTTATTGAGTGATAAAAATCTTAAAATTTATTAATATACTAAAAATACAATCCATGATTTATATTTTATTGACTTTAAAATAAATCGAAGATCTATTCAACAATATCAATAAGTTTTTAGTTAATTCTTTTAACCTAGATTCTATTAATAGTATAACAATTAAGGATATAGTGAAATGGAGAAGTATATACAAAAATAAATATATGAGGAGATTAAGGAATAAATTAAGTATTAAAAAACAAATTTAGAATAGAATAAATAAGATATTAATGATATTTTTCTTATCAATAATCTGATTCTTAAAGAATATAATACTCCAAAATTAATGATTTCTGAACTTAAAAAACATTAAAAAGAAGCCTTATTTTGGATGCTTTATAGAGAAGGACATATTAATGATGATTAATTATAATAGAAGTAACAATTGTCTCCATTATGGTAGGAATATAAATTATAAGGTGGTGAATCATTATATGTCAATATGTTTACAGGTAAGGTATCTAAAGAAAAAGTGACAATTCAAGAGACTAAGGGAGGTATATTAGCAGATGAAATGGGTTTAGGGAAAACTTTGATGGCTTTGGCATTAATTTTGGAAACTCTTAAAAGTGAACAATAGACATTGATTGTAGTTCCTAAATCAGTAATAAAATAATGGGAGAAGGAAATCTTTAAGCATTCAAAACCTGAAAGTTTAAAAGTCTTAGTTTATTATAAGAAGAAGGATAGAAAAAATAAGAAGACAGATTTTAAAAACTTTAATATAATACTAACTACATATGCAGTATTAAGTATAGACTTTTAGATTTGGAATTAAATTAATAATATTAATATTGAATAAGATGGACAAATAGATGAGAGTGATAGTTTTGTTGAAAGAGTTCAATCTATTGAGGAATATAGTGAATTATCTAATACTATGGATATTTATGATAGTAGTTCAGATGATGATGATAATTAATAAAGTTAGTTCTATTATAATCCTTTTTATGAGTATTAAAATGAGAAAAGAAAGTAGGAGAGATAATTGAAATAGCAATTAAAATAGAAATAAAAGGAGGAGAAGTAGGAAAAATAAAAAAAGAAAAGATAATTAACTCCATAATAATTGGAGATAGCTAAGGAACATAATAATTTATTTAAATAGAAATATCATAGAGTTATTTTAGATGAAGCTCATAATATTAAATTTAGATAAACATTATAATCAAAAAGTGCAAATAGTTTGGAAGCTGATTTTAGATGGTGTTTAACAGGAACTCCTATGTAAAATAAACATGATGATCTATTTAGTTTGTTATAATTTCTAAGAGTTGAAACATTTTCTGAATAGTAATTTAATCAATTTCATTTATAGTTTTTGGTGGAATACTTATATAAATAAGGAAGAAAATGAAGAAGATTAATAGAGAATATTATCATAGATATTATAACCTATAATTTTAAGGAGGACTAAGAATTCATAAAGATTTGATGGTCTTAATTAAGTGGATGAAGAAATATGTTGGGTTGAATTAAATGAAAAAGAATAAATATTGTATTAAAAATTATTAGCTGGTTCTTAAGATATATTTAAACATTTTACAATTGATAAAAATAATAAATCTTATGTACATATATTCTAAATCATTAATAAATTAAAATTAGCATGCAATCATCCATAATTAGCATTAAAAGAAATTAATTTAGATAAAACACCTATAGAAGAAGTTATTGACAAAATTAATTAATTCTTCAGCAACAAATAAAAAAGTACTAATATGACAGAGGTTTACAAAAAATCATTAGTAGAAAATATTAGAAATGGAGATGTATAAGAATGTGAAATTTGTATTAATACTTAAATAGATACTTTTTGTTTGTCTTCATGTGGTCATATATTTTGTAAAAAGTAATACATATATTATATTTATAGATGTTTCACTTAAGCTATAAATTAATAATAAATATGTCCAGTCTGTAGAACAACATTATCTATAACTGATTTGATTGAAATCAAAGTTGAAAATGAAAATGATTTTGAAGACTTAAAAACTTTAAAATTTGGTCTTAGTTCTAAATTAGTATCCATTTTAAATAAAACTAAAATTGTATAGTAATAAAAAGAGAAAGTATTGATATTCACATAATCAATTGATATGATTTAATTAATTGATAATCTATTTTAAGACAATGGAATCATTGCCTATAGGATTACTGGATAGATGAGTGTTGATAAAAGAGAAAAAATAATAAAATAATTCAAAGATTCATAAGATGCTATTGCACTCTTATTATCATTAAGAGCTACATCAACAGGATTGAATCTTACTATGGCAAATAATGTATTTTTAGTTGATCCTTGGTGGAATGTAAATTAATTAATAAATTATCAAGCCTGCTATTGAAGATCAAGCTATTGGAAGAGCTGACAGAATTGGATAATTAAATTAAGTTAAAGTTGTTAGATTTTTATGTAGAAATACTATTGAATAATCAATCAATTTGTTGCATTAAAAAAAGAGATTTTAAATCAAAAGAGCATTTAGTGGAGAGGCTAAAAAGGCATAAGAATTGTAAGATTTCAAATTTGTATTATTTCAATAATGATCTACAATAAATATATCAATTATCCAAATATCGATGTTATTATTATATTTAGATATATAATCTTACTAATATTTACTAATATTTTTAAATAAATATATTATAGCAAATATATGTATTTATTTGTTTTATCATTATGAATGAAAGCTAAATTTTTGAATGCTTTACCAACAATAATTAAAATTCTTCTTAATGAATAAAAAGCAGATAAAATAAGATAAGCTTCTTAAAAAAAAGGTATTGTATTAAGAGTACTGGAAAACTATTTTTAACTAATCCAATAAAGCAAAAGACAAAATTAAAGATGGAGACACTAGTACTAATATTTTTGAACTATTATCAAAAGGGGAAAGCAATTAAAATAAAGATAAATTAGAGTAAGGTTTTGACAAAATATTATCAGAATAGAATCACATTCTTAAATTACCAAAAGTATTATAATTTATAAAAAAGGACTAAAATCCAATTCAAGAAAATAGAATTTTACAAGAGAAGACAGAAAGTAAAACATTATTACAAAATAAAGCAACTTAATTATCTCCACAACCTAAATTTGATGAATAAATTAAATCCACTTCGAGAAATGTGTAAACTTAGAATATCACTTAAAAAATTACTATCACCGATACTAAGAGTTTAGAATCAGGAAATAAATAAATAGATATAAACAAAGACATCAATGATAATGTTATACAAAATGAAGTAAAATAAGTATTAATTAATGTTTCTCCTTAAGAATAATTACATTCTAATGTACAATCTTAAACTAAATTTGGAATTACTTAATAACAATATTAATAACAAGAATAACAATAAGTATAATAACTATAGTAATAGTAATAATAAAAATAATCATAAAAATAGTAATAGTAAGATAAATATTAATAAAAAAAATAATAATAATAATAATAATAATAAGAAAGTTTACAAACAATAATAAAGAAAATTAAAAGTTTTGAAAAGTCTATAAATAAATGTAAATAGACTAATTCTTAAGTCAAACCTGTCTCAAAGAATAATATCAATTAATTAGAATAGACTCACTAAAAAGGGTTAATTAATGAAAGTCATGATATTACTAAAGATATTCCTGATATTTAATAGTAATTGAAGATTTAAAATAATAAAATAAATATAGATACTGATAAATGCATCAAGAAATAATTTGAAAGAACTTAAAAATCTGTACTTTTAATTGATATTTTAGGAACATTTCATGAATGATTAAATAAAAACACTTAAGCCATAAGATAAATCCAATATTGCATAATAATTGACAACAACAAATGATTCAAATAATAAATCTATAGAAAATGATAATAAACAATAACAAATGAAAATCTCAAATGATGGTTTAATTTAAGAAAACATAAAGTAATAGTCTGAATAAAAAGATTAAGATAATCAATAAAATGAATCAAATACAACTTAAAATTAAATTGTTACTAGATCTCAACTCAAAGCTGTTCATAAGATTATGAGAACATTGAATCAAAAAGTAAATTATATTATTAAAAAAAAAGCTTCATTAAGATGATATAAAAATTCAAGTTATTTGGGATGAAGTTTTAGCTTAATAATCTGATTTGGTACCTAATTTTGAGAAATTTATTTAATGCATTCAATTCTTGCATAATTTAGAAAAGGCACATTTTGATTAATAAAAATTGACTGCTTAATTATTGTGATATAAATTATATGACAAAATTAGAAATTTATAATTAATTAAATATTGTTATTTCTCTTAAATTTCATAAACAATAATATTAATAATAATTTTAATATTAGCAATTTTACAATTTAAAGGCTTAAGTTTAAATTTATATAATAATAAAATATAGAAAAGACAGAAATATTTATTTATAAATTTCTCAATAATTATTTATAGATATTTATATATCTAATCAACTTGAAAAAACAGTTTTAAATTATAATAAATTAAGAATATACTTTAAACATTGTTAAAAAAGATTTGTTGATTCATTTGTAATGCATAAATATAATAAATAGACCATTAAAATTTCATTAAATTATTCAAACATATTTTATACATACAATATGTAAGATTTTATTATTAAAATCATTTAGAATTAAAGAACATTAGCATTTTCTTAAATTATAGATAAGCAATCTCTATGAATGTATAAAAAATGTTTAAGGTAATATATAAAATAATTTTTATCTTTAATCGATATTACAAAGATAATCAAAATATTATGATATTAATAAAATGTATTTTATTCATTCATTAATATTTCGCTATCAATTTTTCAATCACTTAGTGTCTCGTTATGAGTTTCTTTTTTTTCTTCTATAATTATATATAAATGAGTTATTTTTAACTTTCATTAGACAAAACAATAGTTTAAATAAACTGATAAATTTTAAATGCCTCAATTGATACATCTCGAACCTATTCTCCAATAATATCTTTAATTGGCTATAAAAGATGCAATTAACGATCACTAATTGATTCATAATCTATATTAGTTAATTTTTGATGAAATTATTGATGTTAAATTAATTTCTATGATTATGCCCATGACTTTTAACTCTCTTAATTAAAATCAAATAGGATCATTAAATATTGAAATATTGTTTCTACAATCATTGGAGGATTATGTAAAGTCTTTAAGATTGCTATATCTTACATTTTTATTTATTTCACTTCATTAACACTTTTATCTATGGCTTATTTAACGATCTCCTCTTATTATGGAGAATTTGGATTATTTTAGACATATTCCTATATTGAATTTTCAATATTCTAAATTTAATATAATTAATTTTAAAATATGATTGGCAACAAATGTAAGACTATGTAATTGGTTCTTTTGCTTACTAATCTAAATTTTTATACAGTAATGAAATCAAGGAATATAAGTATTTAGTTTATCACTTCAGGTCTCACTTTATAAAATAAATCCTATTTAGGCTTATCAATAGAATTTTTATTTCGATAATTCACTTGAATTTCTTAAAATTATATAAAGAGGTCTTTAATGCATTATTAATTTTTTTTATTGTTTTCTGATAAATAGTGTAATTGACTTTTAAGTTCTTATAACATTAATAAATATAATAAATATTAATAATACTTATATTTCTAATTATTTTTAATGCTATTTAATTCATTCATAAATAGTTTATTAATTAATTAATTAATTATTTTTTAAGTTGCTGTAAGTGTTTGCATAGATATCTTATTGTATTAAAACTTCTATATTCTAATTTATTAGATATTGTATAGGTTGATTTAAAATAGTCATAATTAGTTCATAACCCTTCCATTTTTGAATAAAAAAATAGGATTTAAATTTTTGTTAAACTTTTTTATTTATAAAATAGTGCCATTATTTTAGTAAATCATTATCAAATTTCCATTATATATATAATATAATTATGATCTTAAGAATTATTATTTTGAAAATTAATTGGAATATTCTAAATAATTTTCATTTTCTTTTTCATTGTATATTGAGTTCATATATCATATGTCTTATCAGTTTAAGAAATATAATAGAAATAAGATTAAAAATATAGACCTCTTTTTTTGTCTTACAATAAAATACTGCCAACATATATTTTTCATTATTTTATTTAGGTAAAGATTAGATTACTCAATTAAAATGCACTTTAGTTTGAATAAATTGATTTTCATCTCAATCTGAAATTTTGTGAAGTAAAGGAATAGAAATTTAATAAGGTTTACATTGAATTTTTTAATGATTTTTTTATTTCAGATTATTCTCATCAACATAAAGTTTGTAAGATGTGAATGGATACCTCTAGGAGTATACTTGACAGCTGTCAAGAATTATAGTGGTGCAGATACAGATGAATTTATGAAAATAGATGGAAAACTATCTTAATATATTAATTGTAATAGAGAAGGCAGCTATATCGTGTTAAACACAACATAAAGTGAAGTTTAACAAAAAAATCCATTCAGTTGGAATTCATATATGTTTTTTGTGACTTTTGACTTAATTTTTTTTTAACATTGGACAGATTAAGATTATGTAAATTATTCATTAGGATAAACTACATAAAGCTTTAATTATAATTCTAATTAAGTTCCACGATAGTAGAGTTAATTTTGTGAAAATCAATTTGCCTAGTATTAAACCTTTAATATGACAGTCAATACTACTAATGTTTATGGTTACCATAAGTTTAGTGCTTCAACAAGTACAGGAAGTGTTGCAATAAAAAATCTTATTATTTTAGGACTAAGATGTTCCCCAAATTGTAAAACTTGTTATGGTGAATCTTTTAATTAATGTTCATCATGTTCTAATGGCGATAGCAATGTTAATGATTGCAAAATATAATGTACACCTGAAAAACCTTTTTTCGTTAATAATTAAGGATGTTTTAAATAGTGTCAGATTGAGTAATCACTACATTTCAAAGGGTCATGTGTTACGTATCCAAGTAATACATTTTCATTATATATAGTTACCTATTTTATGAATCTAAATATAAACTAATATAAAACTACATCATAATATAGATGGTAATAAATTTATGATAAAGAAAACCTTTAATTCGAAACTTTAACTAACATAGCTTTCGAACATTATTACATATATGGAATATTCAAATATAATTAAGGTTATTAGAGCGTTATAAATTTGACTAATAATGATGGGTTATACTTGATTGGAATAAAAATAGAACTAATATTATTTAATAGAATGCCTACGATGAGTAGTATTTCTTTATTAATAAATGAAACATATTAGGCACATATTTATAATGATGGAAGTGGACTAAAATTCTATTAATTTAATCTTCAATATGAAAATAAAAGGAATAATATATCTTATTCAAATATTGAATACAATGATAACTATTATTATACATTATATATGTATGCAAATGTTTCTAGTAATTTTATTATTAAATTACTTGGAAATTATCCTAAGTAACAGCAATCTATTTATCATATAGATCATCTAATGCTGGTTGGGGGATTAGAACAATTTAGATAACATCAGGATAATGTCCATAATATTGTTTATAATGTAAATCTTAGTTTCAGTGTTCAGTATGTCAATAATACTATTTGATATCGAAATCTGGAACTTGTAGTACTTGTAATGGTATCTATTAATAAAAAATTAATAATACTCATTGTTAAGATATTGATGATTAAACTCCATGTAAATCAATTTATACATTATTAGATTCTGAATACCTTGTGAAAGAATTCATAGATTTTTCCATAAACCCTGTAACATATCAATTATATACATTATTATATTAAAATGGAACTAATTTCCTAAAGGGTGAAGGAATATTTTATTCTATTTGGAAACAAAAATTTAGAATATTTGGAGGACCATATATTTGGGCATAAGCAAAGTTTTAAAGAATATATGAAATAACACGTCCTCATTATAGTATATCTATAATCTTTATAATAATATTTGGTCCAAATTTTCCTGAAAATGGATAATTTATTTTTTGCTTAGATAATTAAGTTTAATTTGAGATCACATCTATTGATCAAGAAATAGTAGTTGACTATTTATATTTACATAATAATGATACTTTAATTGTGGAGTTGGAATGTAAGGGTCCAGATAATGAACCAATTTAGGCATATTGTGGATTTTATTAATACTATCTAACTGTAAATTATTGTAAACCTGGTTGTAATGGATAATGTACTAACTAAAATGATTGTTCAGAAAATGTTGCTACTTAAACCTGTTAAGATGATTAATATTTAGATATCTATAAAAATGAATGTAGGTAATGTTAACCTAATTGTTAAAAATGTACTTCATTATAAAATTGTCAAGAATGCAGAAATGGCTATACAGATCCTTCTTTAGGCTGTATTTGTGGTATAAATAAATTCGAAGATTATAATGGGTGCTAAGATTGTTCTTAAGATTGTAATTAATGCATAAATTTATAATTCTGTTTAGAATGTAAGACAGGTACTTTTAAAGTTCTAATGAATAATTAATGTGTTTGTTAAGAAGGTTACTTTAATGATTCATCTATATGTAGTATATGCAAAGAAAATTGTAAAAAATGTACAAGTTTATCAGATTGTAGTGAATGTTTTGAAGGATATTAAAAAACATCTTCTGATGAATGTCAATTGGATTCATAATTTTATTATTCTAGTGATCTTTAAAAGTTATTTAGTTGTGCTACTTTTAATGATAATTGTAATCCTTGTTAATCTAATGTTGATAATTGTACTTGTGGTGATTTAATAATATATAATAATGAAGATTGCGATGATGGCAACGAAATAATGTATGATGGTTGTCACAATTGTTAATATTAATGTTAATAATAGTGTACGAAGTGTATAAATGGTAAATGTTTTGAATGTGCGATATTGGGATGGTATTTGGATACCATTACATAAACTTGTAAAGAATAGTGTTATGATAAACTTAAAGTTGGAAATGAATAATGTGATGATGCTATTAATAATTCTAATTGTAAAGATTGTAAATATTTTTGTAAACCCGATTGCTAATAATGCAATTTTAATAATGGTACATGTTTAATTTGCAGAGAAGGATTACTTGCTAAAGACAATTATTGTTATAATGTATGTGGAGATAGTATAATTGTATCAGCTCCAGATGTTAAAGCGATTGAAGAATGTGATGATGGTAATAAAGTGGAATTTGATGGTTGTAATAATAAATGCTAATTTTAATGTTAAATAAATACTATTTGTGCAATTTGTTAGAATCGTTAATGCTAATATTGCTAATATGGCTATTTCCTTAATAAAATGATGAACAAATGTGATTGTGGTTTATCTTGTCTTACTTGTGATTATTCTAAGGGATTAGGATGTATAGAATGCTAATATGGTTATGAATTAAGGAATTAAATTTGTTATCCAATTTGTGGTGACTCTTACATTACTTTTCATGAAGAATGTGATGACGGTAATATGAATATTGAAGATGGATGTCATTAGTGTTTATATACATGTGAATAAACATGTCAATTTTGTTTATTCGGAGTTTGTTTAGAATGTTATGAAGATTATTAATTATAAAATGAAAGATGTATATTAATAATTAATTCGTATTTGGATAATAGTGATAGAGAGAGTAAATTTCAAAATAGTATGCCTCAATTATTTTATTAGGAATATTAAGATTATTATGTTATTGAATAATTCAATGATTTTATCTAGAAGGATACTTATTATCTTGATTAATTGTATATGTTATATAGAATAAGAATTGATGTTCAAAAATATTATATTAATAGAATTGATATAATAATAAATGATAATCATATTGAAAAAGATGAACTAATTTGTCCAATAAATTGTTCAGATTGTATCCATGGTTCTTGTATCTCTTGCACATTAGGATACAATTTAGATTTAGTTAATAATTTATGTAATGCTGTTTGCGGTGATCAATATATAACAATTGAAGAATTATGTGATGATGGAAATAACATTATTTAAGATGGTTGTTTCTAATGTAAATATCAATGTTAAGATGAATGTACAAATTGTCATTATGGTAAATGTAAAGAATGCATTCAATCTTACTATTATGATATCAAGAAAGAAAGATGTGTAGAAAGGACAATCTGTATAGAATCATAAGGATATTATTATGATGATAAATAAAATATTTGTTATTCAAAATGTGGAGATAATATTAAAGCAGGAAAAGAACAATGTGATGATGGTAATGATATTCCTTATGATGGATGTTATTAATGTAAATATCAATGTGAATAATTATGTGAGATTTGTTAATAAGGTAAATGTGTAAATTGTTAAATTGGTTATAAATTATCAATACAAAATTCTAATTGTGTAAATGATTGTGGGGATGGATTAATAAAAGATATTGAATAATGTGATGATGCCAATTCTATAGTAAGAGATGGATGTACTAATTGTCTTATTGATCCTGGATATAATTGTTTAACATTAAATAATAAAAGTTTTTGTTACACATGTAAATCTAATTGTATTTAATGTGAGTATGTTAATGGTCAAATAAATTGTATAAATTGTTAAAAAGGATATTTCTTAACAAGTAATGAATGTGTTAAATGTTCAGATTAATGTGAAGAATGTAAAGATAGTCCTAATAATTGTACTAAATGTATATTTGAAAATTGTAAAAAATGTGATAATAAATAAGGATTCTATAGTGATTTTAATCTTAAAAAATGTATTACTAAATGTGGTGATTTAATAGTTGCTGATAAAGAATAATGTGATGATGGCAATAAAATTAATAATGATGGATGTAATTCTTAATGTGAAATTGAATAAGGATTTACATGTTACAATAATCTTTGTAAAAAGATTGAATAAAAATATATAGAATTTAATTATTCCAATAACACTTCTACTAATTGTTTACATTTAAAGGGTGAAGTAGATTTTAAACTAATTTGTCCTAAAATTACTATTGAAATAGATTACTTTTAACCAAATGAATTCAATTACACATTAACTCCTTTTGAGATCAATTAAGCTAAGTATGGATGTGAAATCTCATTTGAATTCTTTAAAACAATAATAGAAAACAATCTAATCCATTTGATAATCCCAATAAATAATAATGATGGATCAAGACTTTTAGAAGAATACAGAATTACCATTATTCCAAGAAAATAGATTTATTACAATTAATAAGAAAAATAATAAGCATAAATGATTGCTGCAACATCCAATTAATTGTAACTCCTCCTCTAATTAATTGGTCCATTATCAATCATCCTTGGAGGTGTTTCCTTTTTTTGGACTATCCTAGAAATCCTTACTTGGATTAATAATTTCTATTTTCTCAATATTGAATATCCTCTTAATGTCAAAATATTCTTTTAACAATTTCAATGGGATGATATTTTCTAGATTCCAGATTTAATTCCCTTTAATACACCAAATGATCCATTTTATTTTTAAGCTCCAAAAAAATTTCAAGAAAAAAATGTTAATCCATTATTTATTAAAAACATTCAAATATTTATTTGCTTAATTTTAATTGCTATCATAATCTATTTCATATCATATGCAATTATTGCATTATTCAAAATAAAGTTAAAAACCAATCTATAATAGAGTCATAAAATTTATATTTTTACAAAATGTAATAATTTATAAGAAAATTAACAATCTACATAGAAGGGTAAATAATTATTTTAAAAGATACAAGAACTTCCCTAATTTGCAGTTATTATTTTTAGAACTGCTCTTGAATATTAACAAAACTTTTGGTCTAAAATCAATTCTATTATAAATTTACTACTTTTAGATTTATTTATGGCATGCATCCTATAATTATCTTGTCCAAAAACCCATTATCATTATATTATCATAATTAACAATTTTTTAGCTGTATGCTTTTTAATACTTACTTTAATAATTTATTATATTTATGTTTATGTCAGCTCTAAACATTAGATACTTTTGAATCATTCACTATTCAAAAAGAAATACTTATCAATTTATGAAGTACTTAATTTGTAAAATAATACTGCCATGCAATATTGTTACTTTAATCTAATCAGAAAATTCTCTTTTATTATCTTTATTGTATTATTATACGACAAACCAATATTATAGACAACTTTTTGTTGTCTGTCATGCTTTATGAATCTGGCATTTTTGTTTTATTAAAATCCTTTTAATTCAAAAAGTATATTTATTTAAACAGGAATTCCTGAATTTTGCATTTTCTTTATTGTATCATTAGCAGTGTTAATAGCATTTGATGATATGAATAATATACTAACTGTAAACTAAAAGTAAATGATTGGGTGGATAATTATTATTCTCATGTCGATATCAATTTTAGTCTAATTGATATTTTTGATGATTGAATTTTTTTCTAGAATCAAATCAAATTGTGAAACCCTTAAAAACATTATTTGCCCATCAAAAAAGTAATCATGATTGAAATATATATTTTTTTATATTACTCACTTTTAAGGTTTTTTATCAAATAGGAAACTTTAATAAATATTTTATATTTTTAGTATTTGATCAACAATTTAAATATAACTACAATATAAATTTGTTTTAATATTAATTTTAATTAAATACGTTAAGAAAGAAGGATATTTTATATTATTTTTTTTATTTATAAAATTTATTTAAAAATAAATTTATTTATGCAAAACTAAAGTAGAAAAAAAAAAGAAATAACAGAATGAATAAATTTCTATTTGATATAGTACTAAAAGCTATAAAAATAGACTTGGCTTATTAAAATTATTTTATATATAATACAAGTATTATATTATTATATTTACATTGAATTTATGGAATGTCATGCTTGAATTTGTCAAAGTTATAATAATCTTTTTAACATATTGATGAGGGAGTTCAAATGGAGATAATTTATTTCAAAAATATTGATTTAAAGTAAAAACAAAAAAGTTTGCTAATAAGATTGATACTAAGAGGAATGTAACTTATAGTTGTCAAATAGGAAGGATATATGTATATAGTAACATTGTATTTTTCTTGTCAACTATTTAACATAAATAGAATAAAATAATTTAAATTATCATTCAAAAAAATATGGATAAAGTGGTAGCAATGTTCTGAAACTCTAAATTCTTTCTCAACTTTATTGAAAAATAACAAATATATCGTTTTATACTTAATGCATTATAGTCTCTTTAAATTCAATATTTTGATGTAAAATAAATTGTTAACCCAATTAAGAATCAAAAAATATAATTAAAAATTTCGTTTAAAAATATAACATTATTTAACAATTAATCAATACCATAGATCATCAAGGAGATTTGTTATTCTTAAAATATATTAGTGCTCTATATGGTCTTGTATATCCAGAATATCTTACAAAGATTGAGTATTTTGCTCCATTCTTAAACCCATCAAACTTCTTTTAATTTTTTTATGAAAAAAATCAGAGATAATAGAAAGAACAATAAGTAATAAAATTTTCAAATATTATTCCTCTTTTAATCTAAATTTAACACCCATCATCTGATCTCTTTTTTCTTTTATACAATTTTTTGTTTTTTTTCATATTATCATTAACATTTTTAATTAGTCCTTAAATAAACCATTATTTTCACTTATTTCTATTTGGAAGCCGTGTGAAACATGCTATTGTAAGAATTCTATATTAGATTGCTAATTGGCTGGGGGGGGGAACATATAAATATTCTTATATATATATATCCTTAAAAGAATGAAGATATTCATTTCCTCTCGAATATATATGACAAGTTTCATATGGAAATTGATATATAGACATTTATTTTGAAACTATGGTAAATATGCTTTCCTGCTCTACTAGATTTATTTTGAAATAAATAATAATGAAAAACCATAGATTGAATTTAAATAAATTTCAAATTATGCAGCAGAAATTTTAAAAAATAAATGACTTATGATATAAAATAAAAAAATTAATCTTTTTGAAATTTAAAAAGAATTTTTAAATTGTATATTTATTCAATACTTAAATGAAAATAATTTTAACTCTTTGTTTGGTAGCACTCGTTTGCTCTCAACAAGTGTTTAAATCAAATGAATGTAATGATTGTGGTTTATTCAAATCACAAAATGATTGTGAAGGATATAAACCTGTAGCATGTGAATGGATTGGAGCCTCTGGAACAACACCGGCCAAATGTTAAAAGAAAGATGGAGGAGGATCTTAATAAGGAACATTCAAACCCTATTGTGAATTAGTTGAGAAACCAGAAGTGAATTGCTCAAAGACATTTGGGTGTGCTTATTTAGATTCAAAATGTGTGCATTTTGCAGGATGTTCGGCTTACGTTAAAACTACTCCTTAAGAGTGCTAAGCAATCTCATATCGTTGTGTGAGTGATGGCTTTGCTTGCATTGAAGCAAAAGAATGCAAAGACTACAATGAAAGTCAATGTGAAATTACTCCAAGTGTCTCAGGAATTTTGAAATGCAAATTTGATGGTGGAACATGCAGAGATTATGGATGTTCAGAAGCAGATCTAACCTTTACTACTGATCAATAATGTAGTGATTGGTAATCTACATGTATCACAAGAGGAAAGGGATGTTGGACAAAACCATTACCAAATTGCTCAACTTACACAGGAACAGAAGAATAGTGTAATTCTTTTATTGGTTTTGATGGTAATTGTGAGTTAGCAAAAGATACTACAAATTGTAAAGCAAGAGAATGTGCAAAAGCCTCAAATACTATTTCTACAGATGATGAATGTAAATCATATTAAAAAGGATGTATAACAACCGGAAAGGGTTGTTATTTAGGAACAACAAAACCATTATGTTCAACTTATGATGGGGATAATACAAGTTGTGTTGGATATATTGGATCTGATGGAGTTTGTGAAGGTGATGCTGGAGGTACAAAATGTAGAGCAAGAAAATGTGAAAATGGAAACTTTAAGACTGATGAATAATGTAAAGACTATTAAAAGACTTGTGTGACAAATGGTGTAAAATGTGTTAGTGCTTTACAAACCTGTAGTACATATAAAGGTACTGCAACAGGATGTAGTGCTTATATTGGAAGTGATGGTTATTGTACAGGTACTAGTACAACAGTTGAAGCAAATTGTGTTCCAAAAGTTTGTGATTAAGCTGGAGATACTTTTACTACTGATGAAGCATGTGAGAAATATTAAAAAGGATGTGTTACAACTGGTAAGGGATGTTCAACTAAAGCTGCTTTGAAAAAATGTACAGAATATGATGGAGATTCAACACAAGCATGCAATTCAAGAATTGGATCAGAAGGTAGATGTACTTGGAGGAGTGGAAATAAATGTTCACCTAGAGATTGTACTTCTGCACCTACATCAACAAATACAAACCCACTTTGCAGTAATTGGTTTACAAATTGTGTAACAACTGGATCAGGTTGTGTAAGTGCAACTACATGTGAATTGACAGTTAAATAATAAAGTTGTGAAGGAACAAAGGATTGTGTTTGGTAACCTATATGTACAGAGAATTCATCTTGTTCACAATTTAAAAGAAAAGCTATTTGTATGGCTAATACAGCTAGAGTTTTTGATGGATATGCTGATGTATAAAGAACAATTGAAAAGTGGGTAACTCAAAAATGTGGTTGGGGATCCAATGGTTGTGAAAATCTTTAATGCTCTCATCTAACTGGACCTTTCTATAGTATTCATGCTAATTGTTAAGCTGAAATGAGTACATGTATTAGTAATGGAGTTGATGCTTGTATTACTAAAGTTGAATGTTCAAAATTGAAAGGAACAAAAGATACTTGTTAAGCTTATCCAGGATTTTGCACAAATACAGCTTCAGCTACAGAAACAACCAATTGTACATAAAGATAATGTTCAGAGAATGTTGATGCATAAGATAATCCAGCATGTGAAGCGTGGAATCAAGGATGTATTAGTACTGGCAAAGGTTGTGTTATTTATACAACCACTTGTAACTAATTAAAAGGTGATCGAGACACTTGTAATAAATTGTTTGGATACAGTTCAGGAATAATAACTAATTACAAAACAGTATAATGTTATAATGATTCAACTGCAACAGTAGATTCATTTTGTAAAATAAAGACATGCATAATGGCAACAGGAATGACTGAAGGTTCATGTGATGGTTTCTTAAGTGGATGTGCATTTGATGGAAAAGATAGTTGTGTAGATCCAGAAACAGCAACTTGCAGTGATTATTATGGTGTTTCATCATTTTGTGAAGGAGTAAAAATCAAAGATTAAGGTGATAAATATTGTTATGGTACAGCAACAGCAGCTAAATGTACAATAAGAAGATGTGAAGATAATGCTGATGCTAATACAACAGATGATATATGTGAAGGATTTAAAACAGGTTGTGTTGCTAAAACAACAGGAGGATGTATAGCTAAGACAGCAATTGCATGTTCATCATAAACAGGAACTAGTGAAACATGCCCCAATTTCTCAGCTAGTACAGGAAAATGTTAAAGATATAATACATGTTAAGATAGAGCTTGTGCAGATATCACAAATCCAAATGGTCATTAAGATTGTATGACTTACAAATCAACTTGTAGATTCTTGAAAACAGGATCAGCGTGCATAAATCATAATGTATGTGCATCATATAATGTTCCAGATTCAACAGCAACAAGCTAAGCCAAATTTGATTATTGTACTACAATCACTGATTCAAATGGTAAATTATGTGGATATAAAACTGGAAATACCTGTGCAGATAGAACTTGTGATTAAATGCTAGGTACTTATTCAACAACTTTGGCATGTACATCTTACATATCTACAACTACAACTACTGGTACTGGAACCTGTAAATTGGCTGGTACTGGATCTACAGCTGTATGCTATGCTCCTTTGAATACTTGCGCCTATACCCATAATATAAGTGGAACTGATGATGCTAAAGTAACAGAGTGTCAAAAATATGTTAATGATAAAGATATTAAATGTACCTACATAACTGGTCCTTAATGTACAACATAATCTACATGCGAAAAGATTATCACTTAAACAGATGAAAAGACTTGTAATGACTTTTTATATCCAAATGGTAAAGGTGTTTGTTAAAAAGTAACTGATTCCACTTGTTTAACTACAGTAGAAGTAGCATCAGGTTGTACTGGCTATAAAATAGATTAAACAAAGACAGAAGCATAAAAGAAGGCACTGTGCTAAAGTTTGTATGTAATTGATGATGTTGATAATCACGGTGCTGGAACTGGTAAATTTACAAAGTGCATATATAAATCAACTGCTACTAGTACATGCTCTGCTATTAGTACTTGTGCTGATATTCCATCAGCCAGTAGCCAAACTGATTGTAATAACTAATTAACTGGCTGTTTTTATTTCAATGGATTATGTTATGGTGTATAAAATACATGCGCTGGCGCAACTATTCCTAATAGTGCTAATACTGACACATTAAAATCATTATTTTGTCATAGTATGAAGACAGCCTCTACTTATTGCAAACTTAATGCTGGTAAAACTGCATGTGAAGATGGAGTTGCAGCTTGTGCTACATTTGACATTTCATCAATTACTGGGGGATAATGGGATAATGCTGCTATTACTGTTTCCAGCTATTGTTTAGCTGTAGCAGACAAAACAAAAAAAATATTTTGTAAAGCCGGAACAAGCCCCAATTGTGCTGCAGCAACATGTGAGGATATTCCAGGCCCATAAAACTAGGGAGATTGTGATAATAGAATACTTGGTTGTGCCTTTTCAAATGGAAAATGTAGAACTTTTAATCCAGCAGGAACAGATTGCACAGCTATTGATCTTACTACTGCTGCTGCTGATATCAATACACCATCAGGAAAAACATAATTTTGTTAATCTATCACTCAGACTATCAGTTCTACTGCAACTCCTTGCACATACAATGAACACAAAACAGGTACTGCTGATACTACATGTGCTGCTACTGGTGCTTGCTCAACATATAACGTACTTCCAGATGATGCGGCTACAAAACTTACTTATTGTAATAGCAAAGTAGATGATAAATTTCATAAGTGCACCTTTACAACAGGTGCCTCAAGCTGTAGAGATTATGATTGCTTCGATATCTCTAATCCAACATCACAAATTTCATGTGATTTAGGAACTCCTGGAAAAACATGCACTTATATTTCAGGAACCTGTTATAATACAACTGATGGATGTGCTAAAATTCCAACATCAGGAACAGATAAGAAAGCATATTGTGAATTATTAACATCTGCCACAATTAAATGTACTTACATTTCAGGAGACTTTTGTACTCCAAAAGTAGCAGATTGTAAAGGTTATAATGTTACAGATGCTACTAATAAGTCAACTACATGCAATTCATTAAAAACTACAACCAATGGCGAGTGTACTTATGTTTGGGGTAATAAATGTGCTGCACTAGGTGCTTGTGAAACTTATGTTGGTACGACTGATCCAGAATAAGGACCAGAAACTGGTAGTGAAGAAACTTAATGCAAGAGTTTGAAAGATGCTGCTAGAAAATACCCATGCATTAAACATGATACAGATGCTAAAAAATGCAGAGCCTAGGTATGTGCTGATAATGATAATGATGAAACGGGATGTGCAAGCAATGTTAACGGTTGCATATACTACTAAACTAAATGTATACAAAAAACTACTTGTGCATCATATACCGTCCCAGGAGATTTAGCAGGTAATACTGAAAAACAAGCATGGTGTGAAGGAGTTACTGATTCAAATAATAATAAATGTAAATGGGATGGCACCAAATGTGCTGATAGAACATGCAATGATTCTGCAACAGCCAACTTTTACACTACTTCTGATTGTAAAAGTTATTTAAAAACTTGTAAGACTAATGGCTAAAAATGTGTAGATGAAACTTCAGGTTGTAGTACTTTTACAGGTAACCAGCCATATTGTGAATATTTACTTGATAATACAGCTAAAGATTATTGTAAACTGAATAGTGGTGCTGTTGTATCTGGTGCTTGCTAAATTAGAACATGCTATGATAATGTGTCTGCTCAATCTGATTCAGATTGTGAAACTTGGTTGAAAGGATGTGTGACCAGAGGTAAAGGATGCATTCCAAGAAATAAACCTTGCTCTGATTATAGAGGAACTAAATCATCATGTGAAGCATTTAAATAATTTTCTCATGTCGATTCTGAAACAAAACTAGATGTTTACATTTTATGTTCTGGAGACGCTTCAAATACTGAGACTAGTAAATGCAAAGATAGAAAATGTTCAGACAATACAAGTGCCACTTCAAATGATGAATGCTAGGCCTATTTAAATGGTTGTGTAACAAAAGGAACTGGATGTGTTGAAAAAACTGCTGATTGCTCAGCATACAAAGGAACAAGAGATGTTTGTAGTAAATTCATGGGATCTAATGGATTAGATTATTGCTATAATGTCAGTAATGCTACAGAAACATCCTCTTGTTAAAAGAAGAAATGCTCAGATATTACAGGTACTGATAATAAAACATGCAGTGATGGAATGAAACCATTTAAAGTTACTGATAAACCTTTCTGTGTTTATAATGGCACTGGATGTGATACTTATGGTAAGAAGTGTGAAGAATTCAAAGGAACAGATAACAAAGATGATTTAAATTCTTGTTCAAAATATATTGCAAGTAACGGGCCATGCAAAGCAACCTCTGTTGGAACAATTGTTGGAAGTTGTGCCAAAAGAGTTTGTACAGAAGCTCCAAATACTTTGAAAACTGATAAGGAATGCTAAGATTATCATCCAGAATGTTTAACTACTGGTTATGGATGTACTTCAACTATCAAATGCAATACTTTGACTAATTAAGATTCTTGCAAATCAAGACCTTAATGCACTTGGGCTAACTTATGTGAACCTAAAAAGAATTCATGTTCTGCATAAAGTGGAACAAGTCAATCTAATTGTGTTAATACAGTAATAACATATGAAATCGATAAGGTTTCATACAAAAAGTATTGTGCTTGGACAGAAACAGGTAATGTATGTAGAGATCAAAAATGTGAAGATCTATCTGCAACTATCAACACTCATAAATAATGCAATGATTTTGATAAGGGTTGTACTACCACAGGTTCTGGTTGTATTACAATGACAGTTTGTTCTGGATATAAGACTGAATCAATTTGTAAAAATGCTTCATATGTCAGAGATACTAAGACTGGAGAATTGGGAAGATGTGGATGGGAAAATAATAAATGTAGAGAAAGAATTTGTCAAGATTTGAGTGGAAAGACTGATGCTGAATGTGATGCACATTTGAGTGGTTGTAAAACAAATGGAACAGAATGTGTTTAAGCATTATCTTGTTCTGACTTCAAGACATAATAATATTGTCTCTCATCAAAGAGTGGACCTTGTCTTTGGGTTCAAAGTAATTCAACTTGCTATGATTATGATAGATGTGAGGATGCTTTAGTAAAAACTCATGAGGGTTGTTAAGCCTTTTCTCCTCTTTGTACTACTAATGGGGAAACTTGTATACCAATTACATCTTGTGCTAAAACTGTCTTAAAGGCATCATGTGTTAAGGGTACAGATGGTATTTGTGGATATTTACCAACTGATAAATGCTAATTATTCGATAAATGTTCAGATGCAGTCTCAAATGATTAAAATGCATGCTTAGCATATGGTGGTTGTATTACTGATGGAATAGCTTGTGTTGCTAAGGGTAAATGCGGTGACTACAAAACAGAAATTTCATGCAAAAATAATCTTGGAAGCGATGGAATTTGTTTCTGGAATGGTTCATCATGCAAATTGAAGGAATGTTCAGATCTTATAGGAACTACATACGAAGGTTGTCGATCTCAAGTTATCAGTTCTGGTACTTGTACAACTGATGGATCTAAATGTGTTCCTCTTGGACTTTGCTCAAGTTATACAGAGGCTGGATGCTACTAAGGAACAGATGGTACATGTATCTACTCTTATCCTGTTGGTTAAACTACAGGAGCAAAATCATGTAGATTAAAGTAATGTGAAGATATAGATAAAGGAATTAATAATTCTGCTTGTAGCAATGTTATTCCCGGTAAAGAATGTGTTTCTAATACAAAGAACTGTATTCCAAAAGCAGCTTGTTCAACATACAAAACTTTAGAAGCATGTAATGGAGGAGGATTAGATGGTACAAACAAAGTTGTTTGCGCATTCACACCTAATTCAGCTACTGATAAAGTTAACGGAACTTGCAAGACCTTTACATAATGCTCTGATGCTAATGCTGATCCTACAGCCTGTGAAACTAACAAGAGTTGCAAAAAGACTTAATCTGGAACTACCACATCTTGTGTTCCCCATACTTGTGATACATTTGCAACAAGTACTGATTGCCAACCAGTTCCTAGCTTTGATGGTAAAGGCTTCACTATTTGTACTTTACAAAATAATAAGTGTGCACCTGGTGATCCTGGAACCATAACTGATCCAAAGATATGCTACACTAAATCTGCCTATACTTATACATGGAATTAAACAACTAATAAGTGCGAAAAATGCTTAGCTGGCTCTACATAACCAAATAACACAAATAATAATACCGATAATACCACTACTGATCCTAATACTGATGATTATGGCATGATTCTATCCATAATTACATTAGGACTATTTGGAATTATGGCCTGAAAATGATTTTATAAATATATATAGGGAAAAATTAAACAAATATTGAAAATTTCATTATTATAATATAAGATTATTTATTATATGAGATAATCTTAAATATGAAAATAAGATAAATTTTTTTTAATATCTTCAAGCAAACTTTAATCAGAAAACTTATGACTTTTAAATGACTAAAACAATTATATAGTCTTAATTCTGAAAAGAAATATTCAATAGATTATATCAAATGAATTCTACTTTCAAGATTAATCACTATATTTTTGTTTATAATGAAACTTTTATATTTATAACTTAAAAATTATTGATCTTTTATGTAAAGATGAATAATGAAAAGATTATATTATTTCATATATTTATTTTATTAAAAGAATTTTAGGTACATGCTTAGAAAATAGAATACCATAATTACTTTTTTTAAGGGGAAAAAAATCACAGAAAGTGGATAAAGAAATAACTGATTTTATCACAATTCAATTTAAAGATGTGATTAAAAAATTACTCTCCGAAATCGTTTACTTATTTGTTATTGTTAGCAAATTAGCTTAAGAAATAAAACTCTCTCGTATTCAAAACTAATATATTATAAAGAGAACAAAAAGCATTAATTTATTTGAGCATTTATCTAGATAAAAAATTTAAGAAATATTTTCGCTTTCATTAAGAAATGGGGGAAAATCACAAGGATTTTTGAATATTTCATCTATTTACTTTCACTAAATTCTTAATTACATGTTGTTTCAAATTATCTTAATCATTTTTAAGAAGTTGAATCTCATACCAACAAAAACATTAAGATTAGCTTCTACGTTTCAAAATCAGATACTAAAATTAAGATGATTATGAGATTGATGTAAGATAAAATAGGAATGATATCAAATATTCTAAATAAGATAATGATTAATTTATATTGAAAATAGAATAATTCAAATAAATAATCATTTGGAAAAATCTCAATTAAATTATAAATATTTAATTGAGTAATTTAATAATCATCCTTACTTAAATTATAACAACTTATCAAAAAGTTTTTCTCTCTCTAATTATGTTAGGTATACATTTTTGTTTCTTTTCTAAGATCATCTTTATTGAGAGAACTTAATTTACCTTTTTATTACTTTATCCTTTAATTATCTACAATAATACAAACTTGAAAAATCTTTATTTATAAATTTTAACTTTGATTACATTCATAGTCCCAAATACCCAATACTATTATTTTTATTTGTCCAATTGATATCTATTTATCTTTCTTAAAAAAAAATATTTCTATAAAATTTTTAGTAACCTTATTTTATCATTATAACAGCCAAATACTAAATACTCAAACTAAAGAGAATTGAATTTAATTCAATGTTTCTGTCAGCTGATCATTATATATTAAATTTTTTTTAATTAATTCCTTCCTACATTAGTAAATTTAAAGATATAACTTGTTTCATAATTATTTTTTGAAAAGACAATTTTGCCAAATTTTTGTAAATTTTCGATTTCAAAAATTAATTTGGATTTTCATTATTATAATGTTTTATATGACAAAAATAGATTGAATAATTAAAAAAATACAATTATCAATATAGTATTATTCATATTTTCCAATTTTGTCATCAGATTATCAGATAAATCTATCTATAGTCTATCTCTTATTAATTTGATCTAACCTAATGGAATTTACATTTAATTACAAGGGGAAATCAAACTAATTCATTCAATAGAAAAGAGATATAATTAATAATTTTAAATCCTTCTTTTTTGACTTCCTTATTTATACTAATTTTTTATTTATTTTTTTTACATTTCTTCCTTAGAGTAAAAAAATGGTTTCGTTTTCTTCTCTCTATCTACAAAAAATATTAAACTATCCTCAACCTTCGAATAATCTTATCTTTGTCTTTCTAATAGGAGTTTGGCTTTTAACACAGTGAATACTAATAAAAGATGATTAATATTACATTTCAAATATTCTAATTGAAGAGATAGTTTGATTTATCTCAAAGAAGGTTTCAATGTTTTATTAATAATTTTTTTAATTCTAAAGTTTATAACTAAATATCAAACTAATTAGTAGGTCTACTTAATAAGAATTTTATTGGAATTTAAATTTATCTCAGTTAAATAATATTTATTTAATGGTTTGTGTATTAAATATAATTCACTTAAGTAATTGATCCCAATAGCCTCTATAATATATCCTATTCGCTATAAAAATCCAATATACTAAAGAATTTAAGAAAATAATGAAGCATGAAAAAATGACAATATCATGATAAATGAAGAAAAATTCACTTTAAGAAAATATTTTTTTTATAATAATATACTCATCACACTTTTAATGATCTTAGGTCCTATATAGATATTACTAAGATTCTTCAACATCGTTAATCATTACTAGACCTTCTCGTTTATCTTTAATATGTATTTAGAAAATATTAAAATAAAATAACAAGATTAGAAATTCTTAAAGAAGATTATAATAATTTTCATCTTTGCTAATTTCATGTTGAGGAAGAAAACTATAAATTTAAAAAATGATAGAGATTCACAATTAGTAAAATCAGAATCAAATAGCCTGAAATATTTTTATCTATAAATTCTAAATATTTAAAAAAAGAATAAATATTAACAATCTGATTACTGAAAAAAATGAAGATTTACTCTGTTGAAAATGTGTACACATACTTATAGTAGATGATATTCCTTTTAATCAAATAGCAAAAATGATATTAAGTAAATACTAAATTGAAGTATTTGATGAATTTCAATTGATTGAAAGAGTCTTACAAAAATGCCTGAAAAACTATAAATTCATTGTTTTAATTTTTAAATAATAAATTGCATCCTTAAATTAACTTCTAATTAGATATGATACATAAGAAAACATATAATAAGGTAAAACAATTTGAATAAACGCATTACTTTAAAATCTGGTAACATAATTTCAATTGAATGTACTGATTAGAGAGGTATTTAAAATTAAATTTATTTCATATAATAGTCAAAATTTCATGAAGAATGCAATTTTAATAATCAATTCAAACAATTAGTGAATTTACTTTTTCTTTATATAATATGAAAATTAATTATGTTAAATGTTATTCTTAAGCACAATATGAAATGATATGGTGATAGTTATTCGAAAAAAGAAAAGCCTTGATTAACCATGATGCTTTACTTATAAAATTCTAAATGATACTTTCTTAAGATTGAATTAAGATATATTTGATTCGATGCTGTTTGACTAAATTAAATCTTTATCAAACAGAGTTTATATTAATCTAAGTATCTAAGTTATCTTGCTATGAAGATTAAAAAACATATCTGCTCAACTTCTAAATGAAAATGGAAGATTCAATAATATCACAAAAATTTTACAGCAAAATAAATGATAGCAAGTTATAATTTCGATGAAAGCTCATTTTTTCTACCTAATAAATTGTTTTTCATTATTTCTCTTAAATTACAATCCTTTTTCCTCATTCTAATTTTCAATGCTAAATTATATAATTGGATAAACAAAGTATTTTAACTCAATAATCTCCTTCTTCTCAAAATGCTTAATTGTTTCTAATAATAAGGGAAGTAATTCATTTCTTGTGATTTTTATAACAATAACAGACATCAAGATTTTGTTTTTATTAATATAAATTAGCATTACAATTGAGCATTTAAATTATAGCTAGAATAGTTTTTAAATGTGGACTTGCGAGTAAAATATAAATTAACAATAAAAGGATATAAAGATACCTCCAATAGATCGTTCTTTTTTGAAAGTAATAAATTAACAATAATAATAAATATTTAGTGTTTAATCATACCTTATATATAGTTATTGATTACTTTATGCGATGAGAAGATATTAATCCATAATTCATTAATAGAATGACATTTTCATCGACACTCAATATTTTCAAGAGTTTAAACTATATTTAAAGAGAATTTTACAAAAAAAAAAATGATTTACTCTTCTCAAAACTCACAGTTAAATGCTAAATATGAAGTTTGTAACAAATCAATAAATAATTTATAAAAAAAAACTATCCCATATAATAACAATAAATTAAACTGGCTGATTGGTTTTTGTAAAAGTAATATATTAATTTATATTTATAAAACTAATTTCTATAAAAATCTTTATAAGATCTCTCTAGTGTTTTGATTCATGATNTTAGAGAGGTATTTAAAATTAAATTTATTTCATATAATAGTCAAAATTTCATGAAGAATGCAATTTTAATAATCAATTCAAACAATTAGTGAATTTACTTTTTCTTTATATAATATGAAAATTAATTATGTTAAATGTTATTCTTAAGCACAATATGAAATGATATGGTGATAGTTATTCGAAAAAAGAAAAGCCTTGATTAACCATGATGCTTTACTTATAAAATTCTAAATGATACTTTCTTAAGATTGAATTAAGATATATTTGATTCGATGCTGTTTGACTAAATTAAATCTTTATCAAACAGAGTTTATATTAATCTAAGTATCTAAGTTATCTTGCTATGAAGATTAAAAAACATATCTGCTCAACTTCTAAATGAAAATGGAAGATTCAATAATATCACAAAAATTTTACAGCAAAATAAATGATAGCAAGTTATAATTTCGATGAAAGCTCATTTTTTCTACCTAATAAATTGTTTTTCATTATTTCTCTTAAATTACAATCCTTTTTCCTCATTCTAATTTTCAATGCTAAATTATATAATTGGATAAACAAAGTATTTTAACTCAATAATCTCCTTCTTCTCAAAATGCTTAATTGTTTCTAATAATAAGGGAAGTAATTCATTTCTTGTGATTTTTATAACAATAACAGACATCAAGATTTTGTTTTTATTAATATAAATTAGCATTACAATTGAGCATTTAAATTATAGCTAGAATAGTTTTTAAATGTGGACTTGCGAGTAAAATATAAATTAACAATAAAAGGATATAAAGATACCTCCAATAGATCGTTCTTTTTTGAAAGTAATAAATTAACAATAATAATAAATATTTAGTGTTTAATCATACCTTATATATAGTTATTGATTACTTTATGCGATGAGAAGATATTAATCCATAATTCATTAATAGAATGACATTTTCATCGACACTCAATATTTTCAAGAGTTTAAACTATATTTAAAGAGAATTTTACAAAAAAAAAAATGATTTACTCTTCTCAAAACTCACAGTTAAATGCTAAATATGAAGTTTGTAACAAATCAATAAATAATTTATAAAAAAAAACTATCCCATATAATAACAATAAATTAAACTGGCTGATTGGTTTTTGTAAAAGTAATATATTAATTTATATTTATAAAACTAATTTCTATAAAAATCTTTATAAGATCTCTCTAGTGTTTTGATTCATGATCAAACTAAGTTCTCTATTTAGAATATCCATGCATTTTTATGATACATTTTCAACTACTTTGTTAGAATTTAATTTCCTCTTAAATATAACTAATATAGTATTTATAATAAATAGAATTTAATATAAATTTTAAGGAATTTAGTTCAGATTATTACATATTAGTTTTAATACATATAAAGGAATTCATCTATTAGTTTTATTTAATTGATTTTAATTTATATCCAAGATTTGTCTTCTTAAATGACCTTATTTTTAGGGATTGTGAAATATTAGGAATTTAATACAGTTTTTCTTCCTATAAAAAAAATTGTCTATTATCATATTCTGCCTTTAACTCAATAATTTACACATGCCATCTAATGTAGCTGAATAGTCGATAAAGTGAGATAATTACATTAAGAATAATAATTTTCACATTCTAAGTTAACCACCCTATAACCCCTTAGAGATTTTGAGATTGAATAATTACCTAGAGGTCGTATATCTGATAAATTTCTTAAAAAATACAAAAAATACAAAAAATAAAGATTTTTATTAGACTTATGGAATAATTAGACTTTAGAGTAAAATAAATATTTATGTGAATCTAGAATTATCCCTCTTAATAAAGTATATCCTTAAATCTTTAGAGAAAATTAATTTAGACCAATAGTAGTTCTAAGTTCTTTTTATAAATTCTTTGAGCTAAGATTTATTGATAATTAAACAAATACAATCAAAGAAATTTAAGTAATTAAGAGATTATAAAGTACTGGAAGAAAATGAAATAGATTTNTTCTTAAGATTGAATTAAGATATATTTGATTCGATGCTGTTTGACTAAATTAAATCTTTATCAAACAGAGTTTATATTAATCTAAGTATCTAAGTTATCTTGCTATGAAGATTAAAAAACATATCTGCTCAACTTCTAAATGAAAATGGAAGATTCAATAATATCACAAAAATTTTACAGCAAAATAAATGATAGCAAGTTATAATTTCGATGAAAGCTCATTTTTTCTACCTAATAAATTGTTTTTCATTATTTCTCTTAAATTACAATCCTTTTTCCTCATTCTAATTTTCAATGCTAAATTATATAATTGGATAAACAAAGTATTTTAACTCAATAATCTCCTTCTTCTCAAAATGCTTAATTGTTTCTAATAATAAGGGAAGTAATTCATTTCTTGTGATTTTTATAACAATAACAGACATCAAGATTTTGTTTTTATTAATATAAATTAGCATTACAATTGAGCATTTAAATTATAGCTAGAATAGTTTTTAAATGTGGACTTGCGAGTAAAATATAAATTAACAATAAAAGGATATAAAGATACCTCCAATAGATCGTTCTTTTTTGAAAGTAATAAATTAACAATAATAATAAATATTTAGTGTTTAATCATACCTTATATATAGTTATTGATTACTTTATGCGATGAGAAGATATTAATCCATAATTCATTAATAGAATGACATTTTCATCGACACTCAATATTTTCAAGAGTTTAAACTATATTTAAAGAGAATTTTACAAAAAAAAAAATGATTTACTCTTCTCAAAACTCACAGTTAAATGCTAAATATGAAGTTTGTAACAAATCAATAAATAATTTATAAAAAAAAACTATCCCATATAATAACAATAAATTAAACTGGCTGATTGGTTTTTGTAAAAGTAATATATTAATTTATATTTATAAAACTAATTTCTATAAAAATCTTTATAAGATCTCTCTAGTGTTTTGATTCATGATCAAACTAAGTTCTCTATTTAGAATATCCATGCATTTTTATGATACATTTTCAACTACTTTGTTAGAATTTAATTTCCTCTTAAATATAACTAATATAGTATTTAAAGGATAAAATTGCATTATGGTATTTATTTATAAATTCATTACTTCTATATACAGAAACTAGTGTAGAACTAAATAAGTTTAAGAATGTTAAAACAGAATTTCTTTAAATTAAACGACAATTTTTTAAAACCGTAATTAGATTACCAATATGCACAAAAAGTGAAATTATTGATAGATTAATTAATTCAAAATATAAGAACTAGATTCCTAATAACTTAGGAATACTGTTTAAGAATTATTGGAAAATTTGTCCACTACATTAGGATCTTTAGAACATATTGCTTCCTAATATTTAAAGAATGGTTTAAAAGATATATTGAGTTTGAAATTGAAAAATTATCAAATTTACAATTTGTTAATAAATAAAAACGATAGTTCTTGGTATATGTTTCTAACAGGATTAATAAATAAAAAATTTTATAAATCTGGCTTAATTTTAAAAGACAATAGTTTTAATAAATATGTAAATTTAACAAGAAAATTGATAATCATCAAATAAGTATAGATTGATAATTCATATAAAATAATTTTCTTATTCATCAATTTAATCTGCAATTTTTTTATTGCTTTCTTAATTTAGTTTAGAACTTAATAACATTATAATTAAAAATAATGTGCAAGACGTAGTTCTACTTGATAATGAGAGGATATAAAATGTAAAAGTTTCATTCATTTCAGCTCCATTATCCATCTTTTGGTGCTTTCTAAATTTCTAAATTTATTTCTATTATTGAATTTAATCATTAAATTTAGAAATTATTTGAACAAAATAATGAGTTAAAAAAAGTTTAATTAAGTACTAGTTAGGAAATCTAATGAAAATTAAACACTAAATTTGTGCATTCATATTTTTCATGAACTTGGAAGGATTCATAATCTTAATATACAAAATTAATAATAAAGTGCATAATAGATGATTATAATAATAAACATGGAGTTAAATAACAGTATTACGGGATCTTATAAATGTATAAACCAATAAAAGAAATAGACATAAAAGTTTCGTATATATTAGAAATTGTAATAAGGAAAAAATGTAAAATATCTTAAATAATCAAGTAAACATATGCTATGAACAAAGATTTTAATAACGATATCGTAAAAGATTAAAAAGAAAATCAAATTCATCTGATTTAATAGTTTAAGAACTTTTACTAAAATAATAATAATTATTTTAATAATGAAGGTAAAAATTAAAAAATAGATCTTCAAATACTTAGGTATTGTGATTTCTTAATTGATAATGATTCTTAAAAGCCAGAATGTTAAAAAATAAAAGGTATAAATTAAGAAATACTTATTTAAGCTGATGCTTTATTAAAGATAGATAGATTTGAAGAAGCATTGGTGTATTATGATTTAGCTATTCAAAAAAATCCAGAAAATGCAGCGTATTATAATGACAAAGGTATAAATTAATGATGTATATTTTATTAGCGAATGCCTTAATAAAAATGAATAGATTTGAAGAAGCATTGAAGTATTATGATTCAGCTATTGAAAAAAACCCAGAAAATGCATAGTTTTATATTAAAAAAGGTAAAAATTAATGATGTGTATTTTCTTAGCAAATGCCTTATATTCAATTTATAGATTTGAAGAAGCATTGGTGTATTATGATTTAGCTATTCAAAAAAATCCAGAAAATGCAGCGTATTATAATGACAAAGGTATAAATTAATGATGTATATTTTATTAGCGAATGCCTTAATAAAAATGAATAGATTTGAAGAAGCATTGAAGTATTATGATTCAGCTATTGAAAAAAACCCAGAAAATGCACAATTATACTCTAATAAAGGTACAAATTAATGATGTATTTTTGCTAGCGAATGCCTTATATGAAATGAAAAGATTTGAAGAAGCATCGGAGTATTATGATTCAGCTATTCAAAAAAACCCAGAAAACGCATAGTTTTATTCTAACAAAGGTAAGAACTAATGATGTATATTTGCTAGCGAATGCCTTATAAGAAATGAAAAGATTTGAAGAAGCTTTGAAATATTATGATTCAGCTATTAAAAAAAACCCAGAAAATGCAAAGTTTTATTCTAACAAAGGTACAAACTTATGATGTATTTTTGCTAGCGAATGCCTTATAAGAAATGAAAAGATTTGAAGAAGCATTGCTGTATTATAATTCAGCTATTCTAAAAAACCCAGAAAATGCATAGTTTTATTCTAACAAAGGTAAAAATTAATGATATATATTTTCTTAGCGTTTGCCTTATATTAAATGAATAGATTTGAAGAAGCATTGCTGTATTATGATTAAGCTATTCAGAAAAACCCAGAAGATGCAGACTATTTTCATAATAAAGGTATAAATTATTGATGTATATTTTCTTAGCGCTTGCCTTATAAAAAATGAATAGATTTGAAAAAGCGTTGCTGTATTATGATTCAGCTATTCACAAAAACCCAGAAAATGCATAATTTTATTCTAACAAAGGTAAAAATTAATGATATATATTTACTTAGCGTTTGCCTTATGTTAAATGAATAGATTTGAAGAAGCATTGCTGTATTATGATTAAGCTATTCAGAAAAACCCAGAAGATGCAGACTATTTTCATAATAAAGGTATAAAATAATGATGTATATTTTCTTAGCCCTTGCCTTATGTTAAATGTATAGATTTTAAGAAGCATTGGATAATTATGATTCAGCTATTCAGAAGAACCCAGAAAATGCCGATTATTTTTATGGCAAAGGTAAAAATTAAAGATGGATTATATGCTAGCAAATGCCTTATAAGAATTGAAAAGATTTGAAGAAGCATTGCTGTATTATGATTAAGCTATTCTGAAAAACCCAGAAGACGGAGACTATTTTCATAATAAAGGTATAAATTAATGATGTATATTTCCTTAGCGTTTGTCTTAGACAAAATGAATAGATTTGAAGAAGCATTGGATTATTATGATTCAGCTATTTAGAAAAACCCAGAAAATGCAGACTATTATTTTAAAAAAGGTAAAAATAAAGGATGTATCTTTTGCTAGCGAATGTGTTATACAAAATGAAAAGATTTGAAGAAGCATTGCTGTATTATGATTCAGCTATTTAGAAAAACCCAGAAAATGCAGACTATTTTCATAATAAAGGTATAATTTAATGATGTATATTTNAATAGACATAAAAGTTTCGTATATATTAGAAATTGTAATAAGGAAAAAATGTAAAATATCTTAAATAATCAAGTAAACATATGCTATGAACAAAGATTTTAATAACGATATCGTAAAAGATTAAAAAGAAAATCAAATTCATCTGATTTAATAGTTTAAGAACTTTTACTAAAATAATAATAATTATTTTAATAATGAAGGTAAAAATTAAAAAATAGATCTTCAAATACTTAGGTATTGTGATTTCTTAATTGATAATGATTCTTAAAAGCCAGAATGTTAAAAAATAAAAGGTATAAATTAAGAAATACTTATTTAAGCTGATGCTTTATTAAAGATAGATAGATTTGAAGAAGCATTGGTGTATTATGATTTAGCTATTCAAAAAAATCCAGAAAATGCAGCGTATTATAATGACAAAGGTATAAATTAATGATGTATATTTTATTAGCGAATGCCTTAATAAAAATGAATAGATTTGAAGAAGCATTGAAGTATTATGATTCAGCTATTGAAAAAAACCCAGAAAATGCACAATTATACTCTAATAAAGGTACAAATTAATGATGTATTTTTGCTAGCGAATGCCTTATATGAAATGAAAAGATTTGAAGAAGCATCGGAGTATTATGATTCAGCTATTCAAAAAAACCCAGAAAACGCATAGTTTTATTCTAACAAAGGTAAGAACTAATGATGTATATTTGCTAGCGAATGCCTTATAAGAAATGAAAAGATTTGAAGAAGCTTTGAAATATTATGATTCAGCTATTAAAAAAAACCCAGAAAATGCAAAGTTTTATTCTAACAAAGGTACAAACTTATGATGTATTTTTGCTAGCGAATGCCTTATAAGAAATGAAAAGATTTGAAGAAGCATTGCTGTATTATAATTCAGCTATTCTAAAAAACCCAGAAAATGCATAGTTTTATTCTAACAAAGGTAAAAATTAATGATATATATTTTCTTAGCGTTTGCCTTATATTAAATGAATAGATTTGAAGAAGCATTGCTGTATTATGATTAAGCTATTCAGAAAAACCCAGAAGATGCAGACTATTTTCATAATAAAGGTATAAATTATTGATGTATATTTTCTTAGCGCTTGCCTTATAAAAAATGAATAGATTTGAAAAAGCGTTGCTGTATTATGATTCAGCTATTCACAAAAACCCAGAAAATGCATAATTTTATTCTAACAAAGGTAAAAATTAATGATATATATTTACTTAGCGTTTGCCTTATGTTAAATGAATAGATTTGAAGAAGCATTGCTGTATTATGATTAAGCTATTCAGAAAAACCCAGAAGATGCAGACTATTTTCATAATAAAGGTATAAAATAATGATGTATATTTTCTTAGCCCTTGCCTTATGTTAAATGTATAGATTTTAAGAAGCATTGGATAATTATGATTCAGCTATTCAGAAGAACCCAGAAAATGCCGATTATTTTTATGGCAAAGGTAAAAATTAAAGATGGATTATATGCTAGCAAATGCCTTATAAGAATTGAAAAGATTTGAAGAAGCATTGCTGTATTATGATTAAGCTATTCTGAAAAACCCAGAAGACGGAGACTATTTTCATAATAAAGGTATAAATTAATGATGTATATTTCCTTAGCGTTTGTCTTATGTTAAATGTATAGATTTGAAGAAGCATTGGATTATTATGATTTAGCTATCCAGAAAAACCCAGAAGATGCAGACTATTTTTCTCACAAAGGTAAAATTTAATGATATATGTGTTACTAGCGAATGCCTTAAACAAAATGAATAGATTTGATGAAGCATTGCTGTATTATGATTCAGCTATTCAGAAAAACCCAGAAGATGGAGACTATTTTCATAATAAAGGTATAAATTAATGATGTATATTTCCTTAGCGTTTGTCTTAGACAAAATGAATAGATTTGAAGAAGCATTGGATTATTATGATTCAGCTATTTAGAAAAACCCAGAAAATGCAGACTATTATTTTAAAAAAGGTAAAAATAAAGGATGTATCTTTTGCTAGCGAATGTGTTATACAGAATGAATAGATTTTAAGAAGCATTGGATAATTATGATTCAGCTATTCAGAAGAACCCAGAAAATGCCGATTATTTGTATGGCAAAGGTAAAAATTAAAAATGGATTATATGCTAGCAAATGCCTTATAAGAATTGAAAAGATTTGAAGAAGCATTGCTGTATTATGATTAAGCTATTCTGAAAAACCCAGAAGATGGAGACTATTTTCATAATAAAGGTATAAATTAATGATGTATATTTCCTTAGCGTTTGTCTTAAACAAAATGAATAGATTTTAAGAAGCATTGGATTATTATGATTTAGCTATCCAGAAAAATCCAGAAGAAGCAAGCTATTTTTCTCACAAAGGTACAATTTAATGATATATGTGTTACTAGCGAATGCCTTAAACAAAATGAATAGGTTTGATGAAGCATTGCTGTATTATGATTCAGCTATTCAGAAAAACCCAGAAGATGGAGACTATTTTCATAATAAAGGTATAAATTAATGATGTATATTTCCTTAGCGTTTGTCTTAGACAAAATGAATAGATTTGAAGAAGCATTGGATTATTATGATTCAGCTATTTAGAAAAACCCAGAAAATGCAGACTATTATTTTAAAAAAGGTAAAAATAAAGGATGTATCTTTTGCTAGCGAATGTGTTATACAAAATGAAAAGATTTGAAGAAGCATTGCTGTATTATGATTCAGCTATTTAGAAAAACCCAGAAAATGCAGACTATTTTCATAATAAAGGTATAATTTAATGATGTATATTTCCTTAGCGCTTGCCTTATGTTAAATGTTTAGATTTGAAGAGGCATAGATAATTTATGATTAAGCAATTTAGAAAAACCCAATAAATTCAGAAAATTTGAATAGGAAAGGTATATTTAACAATTTAAGTCTTCTAGTTTCTTCTGAGAGATCATTTTGTTAAATACAATAACAATTCTTATTTTAAGATTTCGATTTTGAATCTATACAACCTAATGATTGAGTTCTGTTAATTGATACAATGTATATTTTTATCAATTAAAATAAGACTACTGAAAACTTATTTAGAATTTTTTCTTATAATCATTAATATAAATATTCATTAATTTATTAATAATCCTTTTTTTTATTTCAACTCAATGAACTCATCATCAATATTTTTCTATATGTGTAAGGACTTGATATTTTGAAAAGATATTATGGATATTGAATGTGAAGGTGTAATCAATTTTTTATCAAAATTTCCTGGGTGGTCTAGATGAAAGTAGAAAAACCTTAACACCATTGACAGCACCACTCATAGCCTTAACCCCAAGCATAGCACCATACATAGCAACAGTGAACAATTTTCACAAAAGTAAAACTTCTCTTTTTACAATAACCCCCTTTAATTTTAAAAAAAAGTTAAAAATAATTTACCACAATTTTACAGTTGAGGTGACAACCTACATCTGAGGGGCCATAGTAAGGTTTGGACATAGAAAGAAAATGTCTTAAAAATATTTTACCATTTCCACAATATACTTATGTGGGGTCATACCAAATTTTGAGCATAATAAGAGAATAAAATTTTAGCTAATATTTTCTTAAAAGTATCAAGTTACATAGGAAATTTTGATATTTTTTAGATATTTTAATTAATTTTTTATATATTTTTATTATTATTTTAGATATTTTTATAAATTTTTTATATATTTTTTTA